GTCGGCTACCACATGGTATGGGTCAGATATGGGGCGATTGAAAAGCACGTGCCACGTGCAAACGTGTTTGATGGGGTAACCTCCGGGAAAATCCGACATTGTCCAACTGGGGGTCCTATGGCGCGGAAACGACTTCATCTAGCGACACCAAATCAATGCAGCCGGTGAGCAGATGAGTCCAGCTTGTCGCACCAGTGGTCACGTGGCGCACGTGCTATTGCACGTGCCGTGGCACGGGGTCAATTTTTGTTCTTAAATACACCAACATTGTGAAATGCAAGGAATGGGGGAAATAGCCGTCAGGCCGTCAGTTTTTATGATAGAGTCGATCTGAAAACGGGTGTAGACACAGAATGAACGGCGCTAAAAAACTGCTATCTCGGATTTTTTGTAAAACGAAAAATTTAAAATTCTAGGGAAATTATATATTAGAAAGGTGAAATTTCCCTAAATTTTCCCGTTTTTCAAGTTTAGCCGTCCACTGTTCAGTGACGATGACACCGGCCGGGGTCATCTTTTACATGCTAATGGCCACGTCGATGGGTCATCACGTGGCGTGAATAGTGAAGCTATCAAAGGTCCGGCACGTGTCACGTGGCCACGTGTTTGAGTCGCGTACCTCCCAGATTATCGTGTGTTTGCCGATTTGTGGCTTTATAGCACCAAAACAGCACAAGCCAGGAACACTGAAATGGTGCAATCAGTGAGGGGACAAGTCCTGCTTGCACCACCGGTGGTCACGTGGCACACGTGCAAATCTGGGCACCTCCGTTGCGAGGATATTTTATAGTGAAATATTCAAATGTACATAACTTTGTAAGTTTAAGTCCGATTGGGCTAGAATTTGGTGGGTGGATGAATTCTTAAGCGACATGAACGAATGCGCCATATTTGTTGCAGTGCGCCACGTTTGTCTCAAAGCGCCATTTTTGCCACAAAGTGCAGAATGTGCGTAACTTTGTCGAACATTGGACGATTAGGATGCGCTGTAATTAAGGGATGGCTGCTTAAACGGCAGATATGAATGCACCACATTTGCCGCAGGTCGCCATATTTGTCTTAATGCGTCAGTGTTTGCGTTTTGCCTACGGCGGGCGTTTTTGCGGCGTTGTTTGCGTTTGGCGGCGGGCGGCCGTTTTTTGCGTTTTTTGCGGTGTTTTCGTTTGGCGGCGGGCGGCCGTTTTTTGCGGCGTTTTACGGTTGGCGGCGGGCGGGCGTGCGTTGCGTGCGTTTTTTTTGCGGCGGTGTTTGCGTTTTTTGCGTTTTTTTGTGCTTGGCGGCGGGCGGGCGGGCGATGCGGGTGTTTTGCAGTGTTTGCGTTTGGCGGCGGGCGGCCGTTTTAGCGGCGGTTTGCGGCGGGCGGCCTTTTTTGCGGCGTTTTGCGGTTTGCGGCGGGCGGACGTTTTTTGCGGCGTTTTGCGGTTTGCGGCGGGCGGCCGTTTTTGCGGCCTTTCGCGGTTGGCGGCGGGTGATGCGGGCTTTTTTGCGGCGGCGGGGTTTGCGTTCTTTTGCGGTGTTCGCGTTTTGCGGCGAACGGGCGTTTTTTTTGGCGTTTGGTGTGCGTGCGATGCGGGCGGTTTTGATTTTTTTGCTGCGTTTTTTTGCGGTTTTCGGCGGGCGGGCGATTTTTTTGCGCCATTTGCGTTGGCGTTTTGGCGTCCGTTTTGCGCGTTTTGCGGTGTTTGCGTTTTGCGGCGGGCGGGCGGTTTTTCACAATTAAAGTCCCAACCTTCGGATCCGCAGAGCTGTTCGACAAGCGCTGCCCGGGCCTATCCGAAGGTTGGGACTTTTCAATTAGACAATCACTATTCTTTAGAATTGTGATTTTCTATTGAAAATCCCAACCTGAGCTACCTCTCTAGGGGGGTGTTTAGCGTTTCTGCCGCGATTTGGGTCATTTTGATCGCCGCCGAAACGGCTCGGTAGATTTTCTTGCCATTTTCAGCGTTTGGTCCCGTGTGGGGGAGCTACCGGCTGGTACCGGTCGCTTGAAATATAATTAACCCGTTTTGGGGTAATCGGCACGTGCATTTTCCCATAGGGTTAACATGGGGAAAAATTAAAAATGCGATTTGCGCAAAATCTGTTCAGTAATATTTGTCCACTTTTTTAGGGTCAGTTCTTGGGCTGGCACCTCACCTTCTGGGGGTAATTATTTAAAAATCATAGGGTACAGTTTCGGGTAATCGTGACGGACAGTTACCCCATGTTGAGCCTATGGCGATTTCGAAAAATTATTTTCAAATCGATTTTGCAAAAAATTTCCACGTTAGATTTTGAAAATGTTCCAATATGTTGTGCCCCGGGGTGTCGGCTACCACATGGTATGGGTCAGATATGGGGCGATTGAAAAGCACGTGCCACGTGCAAACGTGTTTGATGGGGTAACCTCCGGGAAAATCCGACATTGTCCAACTGGGGGTCCTATGGCGCGGAAACGACTTCATCTAGCGACACCAAATCAATGCAGCCGGTGAGCAGATGAGTCCAGCTTGTCGCACCAGTGGTCACGTGGCGCACGTGCTATTGCACGTGCCGTGGCACGGGGTCAATTTTGGTGCTTAGATATACTAGCATTGTGAAATGCAAGGAGTGGGGGAAATAGCCGTCAGGCCGTCAGTTTTTATGATAGGGTCAATCTGAAAACGGGTTTAGGCACAGAATGAAGGGGGCTAAAAAACTGCTATCTCGGATTTTTTGTAAAATGAAAAATTTAAAATTCTGGGGAAATTATATATTCGAAAGGTGAAATTTCACTAAATTTTCCCGTTTTTCGAGTTTAGCCGTCCACTGTTCAGAGACGGTGACACCGGCCGGGGTCATCTTTTACATGCTGATGGCCACGTCGATGGGTCATCACGTGGCGTGAACGGTGAAGCTATCAAAGGTCCGGCACGTGCCACGTGGCCACGTGTTTGAGTCGCGTACCTCCCAGATTATCGTGTGTTTGCCGATTTGTGGCCTTATAGCACGAAAACAGCACAAGCCAGGAACACTGAAATGGTGCAATCAGTGAGGGGACAAGTCCTGCTTGCACCACCAGTGGTCACGTGGCACACGTGCAAATCTGGGCACCTCCGTTGCGGAGATATTTTATAGTGAAATATTCAAATGTACATAACTTTTTCAGTTTAAGTCCGATTGGGCTAGAATTTTGTGGGTGGATGAATTGTTAAGCGACATGAACGAATGCGCCATGTTTGTTGCAGTGCGCCATGTTTGTCTCAAAGCGCCATTTTTGCCGCAAAGCGCATAATGTGCGTAACTTTGTCGAACATTGGACGATTAGGATGCGCTGTAATTAAGGGATGGCTGCTGAAACGGCAGATATGAATGCACCACATTTGCCGCAGGGCGCCATATTTGTCTTAATGCGTCAGTGTTAGCGTTTTTCCTACGGTGGGCGTTTTTTTGCGGCGGTGTTGGCGTTTTTTTTTGGGGGGGGGGGGGGTTGCGTTTGACGGCGGGCGGCCGTTTTTGCATTTTTGGCGGTGTTTGCGTTTGGCGGTGGGCGGCCTTTTTTGCGGAGTTTTGCGGTTGGCGGCGGGCTTGCGTGCGTTGCGGGCGTTTTTTGCGGCGATGTTTGCGTTTTTGCGGTTTTTGTGTTTGGCGGCCGGGCGATGCGGGTGTTTTTGCTGTTTGCGTTTGGCGGCGGGCGGCCGTTTTAGCGGCGGTTTGCGGCGGGCGGCCGTTTTTTGCGGCGTTTTGCGGTTTGCGGCGGGCGGCCGTTTTTTGCGGCGTTTTGTGGTTTGCGGCGGGCGGCCGTTTTTTACGGCGTTTTGCGGTTGCCGGCGGCCGGCCGTTATTTGCGGTTAGCGGCGGGCGGCGGGCGGTCGTTTTTTGCGGCGTTTAGCGGTTTGCGGCGGGCGGCCGTTTTTGCGGCGTTTTGCGGTTCGCGGCGTGCGGCCGTTTTTTGCGGCGTTTCGCGTTTGGCGGCGGGCGATGCGGGCGTTTTTTGCGGCGGCGGTGTTTGCGTTTTTGCGGTGTTTGTGTTTTGCGGCGGACGCGCGTTTTTTGCGGCATTTTGTGCGTTTTTTCTGCGGTTTTCGGCGGGCGGGCGATGTTTTTTTGCGAAGTTTGCGTTGGCGTTTTAGGCGTGCGTTTTGCGCGTTTTGCGGTGTTTGCGTTTGGCGGCGGGCGGGCGGTTTTTCACAATTAAAGTCCCAACCTTCGGATCCGCAGTGCTGTTCGACAAGCGCTGCCCGGGCCTATGTTGGTGAAGAGGTGGCAACCTGAGGGTGCAAGGTACGGAGAAAAAAGTGGCTTTGACAACAGCTCGAAGCCACAGCTCACTGCTTCCCTGATCGTCACCCTGTTCGAAATGCCTGTAAACGGTGAAAATTCGACCTTTGACCTGACCTGTGATGTCATCGGTTTGACCTAGGTCAATGAAATTGGGTCACAAGGTAGTTCCCTGATGGGACTATCCAACACCGTTTGCCGCTTGTCACTAGGTTGCGTGGTTCTCGAGATCTTGGGGGGGGGCAAATTGCCCCCCCCCCCCGAACAGGGCGCGTTGCTCGGCAGAGCCCAACGGGGCGCGGGTTAAAACACTGTCTGATAGTGTGAAATAAATTAATAAATGAATAATAAATAAAGTAGAGTCTGAAATAAATTCATTAGGTATATGAAAATATTTGGGCTGTAAAAGAAATTTGGCACATATTTGGTCAAATTAGGTGCATTCGTCAGATAGCCCGTCGTGAAAACGGCTAATATGGACACTGGGTATTGTCTGTACAGCCCATGTCAAGCTAAACGCCCGCCTCGCAAATTACGCGAAATGACGCTTAAAACAGCTGTCGGGCAAATATTCAGACAAGAGAAGTCCGTCTGTAAACAACTGCCTCCGGGCGCTCCGCTGCTGGCGTTTACTGTTTGGGTGGCGTCAGTGGCCTGGTCGACTCGCAGTGGTCGCCGCTGTCTGGCACGTGTCCGCAGAACATAAACTGACCGCTGCGGTCGCTCGGGGGCGCGGCCGCCGACGCGACGGTGGCAGGCGGTCGTACCGCGGTTCGGTGGTCTGCGGTCCGTGCAGTGGTCTTGTTGACGGTTGACCGGCGCGGTGGTCTGTGGCCTGTGCCTGGTGCATCGCACGGCTACACAGCAGTCGGAGTGGAGTGGAGTATACCTACGCAGGCAAGAGTCATAACGCTTGGAACTTGACGTTTAAAACAAGGCAAAACATGTCCTATATTTTGGTCTTTAACTAAGCTAATTAAAGTAATTTAATCAAAAGTGAATGTTTATCACATCCTGGGCTATTGAGACACGAACACATTTTTCGGGCATTCAAGCCCCATCCGTACCTACTTAATATATATAATTTTCGAAATTTCAAAATTTTGAAAATTCGAGATAGCAGTTTGATAGCGCAGTCCATTCAGAGTCCTCTCATGCAAAGAAATTGGATCTAGCTCAAAAACTGAGCTCTTGGGAGCGATTCCCGTGGTTCAATGTTTAGCGTCGAAATCGGCCGAACATGACGTCAGTCTGACGTCATTTCCGGCCGACCTATGATAGATACGAAGTTCAAATTTTGACACAAGGTGTCAAATTGATGCAGCCGAAGGTACTGAAAGTTTGGCGGCGATACGTCAAGCGGTTTATAAGTTATTGCAGAAAAACGGGAGGGGGCTATGAATAGCCCCCCCTCCCCCAATGGGGGCGGGCATACACAGCGTCCAATTTAGGTATACGAGGGGTATAGGCCGAACCTCCACATTTCGGTCCCTCATTGAGCTGGTTTGGAAAAAAGTGCTTTCTGCTTGTAGCGAAACAAAGCTCTTGTGATCTTGCATCTGGTTATATTTTGTTGAACTCTCAAGAACACGGCTCTTGCTGCAATCGATTGTCGAGTAGGTAATCATCTGGCAACTACTGGTCTTAATACAAAAGGACGACAGGTAAATATAAAAGGGACCCGTTCTTAGGTGTTGTTTTTATCCGCTGGGACTGAGAGCGTGAGATGATGTTTTTCGTACTCCAGCGTAGATGGGTAGCCATACGGCTTCCACGGTTGACAGTGATGACATCAGTCATCTTTTTGCAAGCTCGTTAAAGATTTGGGTTAAAGATCCCCGTACAGCCCAAATCTTTAACGAGCTTGCAAAAAGATGACTGATGTCATCACTGTCAACCGTGGAAGCCGTATGGCTACCCATCTACGCTGGAGTACGAAAAACATCATCTCACAAAAGGGACCCGTGTTTCAGTGAGGCTATCGTAGCATGTAAGATGTAACCATGACTGATGCCTGTATGTACGGCTTTCGCGAGATTAAGCGGTAGGTTTTTGCACGTTAACATTTCCGGTTATATCTCAGAAACTAATCGATCTACGATGAAGCCATTTTACACGATCATGGCCGGCTTGTGAACCAACAAGTCGATCGCATCTTCAACACTGAAAAGTTTAAGACGACGAAGATACCTATAGTCTGAAGTAAACTAATTTTTTCATAAACCTACCGCTAAAACCCGCGGGACCTGTACAGTGTACAGTCTACATTCAGTGCGTGCGCAACCAACGGATCTCCAGCAGCCGCTGCCCACGCCTCAGGTGCCGGTCGGCAGCCATGTCTCTCCAGCTGCGCTGCCCGCTGTACCAGCTGGCACTGCTGGCTGCGGCCGCCGCCACGGTGGGGTGCGGCGGACCCCGCGCCCCCGCCGCCGAGCCGGGACAGCCCCTGCAGGAGACGCTGCAGCTCATACAGCAGCGGCTGGCCTCACTGGACGACAGGGTGCAGCAGCTGACGAGGATGGTCAGTCGGTCTCTGTCACAGCTGGGCTAGATAGGTGGTAGATGGATGGCACCACTCACCACTGCTTGACTATGGAAAGCATGCTACCTAGCAATAAAAGCATAATGTTGAGATGTGAGCGCATTAGTTTATTGAATGTGCAAATCGGGTTACTTTCATGCAATGCCGGAAAGAATTAAGTACTAAAACCATAGCTATCACAAAGGGCTAAAATCACTGGACCAGCAACGCCACATTGTCAGTGCCTAGGTGTGAAGACATGTGAAGTTCATCTGGAACCGTCGGTACACCGCAGGTATCTCAGGACAATGGCGGCGGCGGAGCGGCCGAGAGCGTGCGACAGTGCGCGCTCTCCTGCGCAGAGGGCCGCGACTGTCTGGTGGTCGACTACCGCGCGCCGGACAACTGCCGGCCCCTCGAGAAGCTCGCGACCTGCGACCGCGCCGGCGGCGCCGCCTCCGGCTACTTCGTTAGCGTGGCGCAGACGTGCGCACGCACCTGTCTTCAGCTGCTCCGTCAGAAGCCCAGCTCCCGGTGAGCACAGGCCAGCTGTTCCCTGCAGTGGAAGCCCCTGAGCGGATGTTTACGATGTTTAGCGTGCATGCCGTGAGAAGCCGCTGACCGATAATTACCCCGGGGTAGGGATGATGTGTAGTACATACCACATGCACGGTCTGACCGATCCGGTGTTGTGCGCCGCTGACCAATGTTTAATCCCGAAGGGACGGTCTGTACCACCTGCACGGCCTGGCCTATCCGGTGTTGTGTGCCGCTGACCGGTGTTATCCCCCGGGTAGGGATGGTGTGTACCACCTGCACGGCCTGGCCGATCCAGTGTTGTGTGCCGCTGACCGGTGTTATCCCCCGGGCAGGGACGGTCTGTACCACCTGCACGGCCTGACCGAGCCGGTGTTCTGCGACATGAGCCGGGACGGCGGCGGCTGGACGCTGCTGCTAACGGCCAACTCCCAGGACGGCTGGAGCCTGGACACGCTGATGGAGAGGGAGGCGGCCCGGCCGGCGCTCGACCACAACTATTCCATCTTGCAGCACGCCGACTCACTCAAGGCGGCCGGCAAAGGCGCGAGGTTTCAGTACAGGTCAGTCCAATGTCTACCCGGGAGATAAGGATATCGAGCGCACATTAGCTGGGACAAGTGCTTCATTGGGGGAAACAACAATGGTGATATGTTACACCACGAATATTATCAGCATCTTGTTATCATTTGAACCGTCTACCTACACGGAAAAAAATATTTACTCCCCTAGGTGGGGTTCTGACGTCTCAAATACAGTACCTATATTAGAGTAGATATTCCCCCTATTTTGGAGTTCTATCCATAACTCCCTAAAACTATCAAAAGGCGATTCATTACTCCCTTGGTGTTTTGAAACTCCCTTGTAAAACGCAATTAAAACTCCCTTTTAGGGAGTGAAAAATAATAGGGAGTAGTGGAACCTAAGAGGAGTAATAAAACTCCTTATTAACTACTCCTTATTCCGGAGTTATGATCGCAAAAGGGAGTTTCACTACTCCTGTTCTGCAAGTGAAACTCCTTTAAATTTGTCTGTGGAGTAATGTCACACCGAAAACGAGACATGCTAAGTGGTTCCAAAACTCCCAAAAAGGTACTCATCCCAAATACAGTACTTATATTAGAGTAGATAAAGTTAACATTCTGGAGTTTTCCAAAAAGGGTGTGATGTCACCCCAAATATACGGGTTGAGTCACTCCTAATTTTGGGCAGGACGCACATTGCACAAGCCCCAACTGACATAATCAGAGCATTTCCAGCTGGAATTTTAACAAATATGGATCATTTATACCATTATCATTGCAAAAAAAGTTACTATGATGCTATGACGTGACGTGTGTTGTGAGGCTGAAATAAGAACCAGTGTCTTCCTATTTCTTTCGCGCATTTCGGAGACACAGTTTAGCTATAGTGTAATAAATAACCAGCAGACGAAAAAAAAAATCTCGAGCATATCCAACAAAAACACTGGATTATAAACAATATTTTTTCTGTATTCTCGTCAACCAAATCATGCATGTAACAGCAGATTTAGCACAAGATGGCCAGGAGCCACAAGGATTTGCCACTGGGTTTACAGAAAATCTGCAGCAGCATCCAGTATCATCCAGTATAGCAGCGTCCAGCAAGTACAGCAATGGTGAACGAAGCAGCTATCATAGATGTTAACCCTCGCCCTGGCAGGGGGCGGGGTCGATGCGACCCCACCCCCTAAGGGTTTTCAAAGATAGCGTAAAAACGGCGGCGCACAGCGCCGCCAAATTTGGCACTGCCTATGGGGCAACCTTTTTACATGAGACCTGAAAATTTCAGATCCGGGTGACCTTGGGTCAGGTCACCAGGTCAGAACAACCGGTACAAGGTCATGGTCAAATTTCAATTTGTTTATGCACCTGTCCAACTCACAATTTTGGACTGATTTCCTTCAAACTTTCAGGATGTACTAAGTTCACCGAGTTGTATAACATATTGTTCGGGTTCTTATGTCGCTGACCTGAGGTCAGTTAGAGGTCATTACGTCGTAATGTTAAGCCTATGGGAAAATATTCAATTCGGAAAATATTGAAGATATCCGCTTCGTTCTATCACTTTTGTGCTTTGAAACCACAGTACTTAGCATTATGCCACTTGGTGCTTCTTTGTTTGGTGTACTTATCCAAGGGTCAGGTCAAATGAGGTCAACTGAGGTCAAATGACGTTTGTGCCGATAACTTGTCACATAATAAAGATAAAGCTTTCAAAATGGTACCATTCTGTTTCTCTTGAACAGCCGAGTCGAATGATATGCAACATTAAGCATTTTGACCATTCTTAAGACTTAAGTTGTACTTAGGTTGTGCTTAGTATTTCAAGTACACCTAAGCAACCAAAAAAAAGTACATCGTTCGACGCGCCTTGACGTGCTGAGTTCACTGTTGCTTTTGTTTTTGTTCTATATTAATTAGACAAAAAGTTAGAAGCGAAAAACTTTTGACCTGTTTTAGCGTTGCACAGGGGTGAGAACTCCAGGGGGCCCACATACCTACCAAATTTGGTGTTTCTAGGTGCCATAGGAGGCATTAATGTTGCATATCATTCGACTCGGCTGTTCAAGAGGAACAGAATGGTACCATTTTGAAAGCTTTATTTTTATTATGTGACAAGTTATCGGCACAAACGTCATTTGACCTCAGTTGACCTCATTTGACCCAGCCCTTGTTATGAAAAATGACCTGCCAGGGTGAGGGTTAAAAAATGAACACATTTTTATGCAGAAACAATTGAGATGTGAGACTCTCCATAACACTGTAACACGGTCATAGGGGTGTGATTCTAAACACACATATCCAGCGCCGTGCTGGTGGTGCGAGTTTTCCGTGGAGTGCTGGGAGGGGGGGGGGACGGCGTTTTCGCGCCCCAGTCTAACTCGGCTCTCGGGTCATCTAGCGACACGCGGTAAACGGCACTTCGATAGTCAAAAATAATGAAGAAAATAATCCTGTCATTTTTAGATCATGTCAAAGATCAGGTCACCAGAGGTCATCAAAGGTCAAATTTTGCCTCTTTCAATAGTTTAAAGTTTTTGAAAACCGACGCATAACTTGGGAACCAAAAAGAGCCACTGCACCGCGAAAAGGCGCGTTCGATAGCCATTTTTAACGCTCTTTCGTAATGTGTCCTCAGATGTGACCTCAGGTCAACAGTTTAGCCTCTAGAGAGAAAAAAGAACTCCACAAATAACCGTTTTACGAAAATAATAGTGTATTTCTGTAATCACCTTTGACTCAATAGAGTCGCGACATTGCTGTTGGCAGCATCATAAAAAACATCATCAGCATTGAAAATTTTACTTAAGGTCAAGGTCATGACTTGACCGGAAAAGGTCATGCTGCATATCGGTCGATTCTTTTCGTCAAGCTGAACACATCTGAGGTTTTTTACCGCTCTAGCATGTCTCTCAATCGATGTTATAGACTTAGAGAGTGTTTAGAACGACGTTTTCTCCCATTCACTTATAATGGAGATTGCGCAAAATTGCCCTGGCATTAGGTCATCGATATGAAAGTTCTGAGATATAGGTATATTTTATAGATTCTTTTACTTTTATCAATCGCCGAAAATTGCAATATAATCATTCAGTCGGTGTAGCTACTACGAGCATTCTTTCTGCGGTGAGGTCACTTGAAGTGGCCTGGTGACCTGACCTTTGGCGACCTGGGTCTGAAATTTTAACAACATTTGTGGGAAAAGATGCATGAGCAGGTGTGCCAAAGAAGACGGTGGCTCCACGCAGCCATTTGTGAGCTATCTGCGAAAACCACGGGGGGGGGGGTGTCCAAACGCTCTCCCCGGTCAGAGCGGGTTTAAATCGGTATTAGTCGCTGCATCTCGCGACGGCACACATGCTCGTTTTTTCCGCGAGCCTCTAGCTCAAGTTGGAAAGAAATATGGGAAGGGGATTCGCCCCTCGACGTGGGTGCATGCAGAAAACCGGTAGGTCCGGGGACGGTTAAGGTTATACAATATACACACTGTGGCTCAGCATCCATGCACAGTGTGCATTGCACACACTGTCTCCGTGAGGGTTGTGCTGGATGAATAGACAACCACGCGTTGGACACTATTCGTTTATCCAACGTATTCCTCGTCGTGCAACGGGCTTCCGAGCGTGTTTGCCAACCATGCTTGCCAGCATTATCTGCAATGGAAAATGTTCCGTTGTGACTAAAAAAGACAATATTTTAAGTCTGCATAGGTGGGATCAATGGGTTTCTGAGAAACTTTGTCTAGGAGCTAGGGACATTCCCAACATCATTTGATGCAACTATTAGGTCACTGCATTGGGCGAGGAGTGATGTTTGCTCTGCTCTGCGCTCAACCTTTGCAATTGATAACTTGAGCTTTTTAACATTTCCGTATAACATTTTATATAACTAACATTTCCATAAACATTTCAATTCCGGAATTCACGCTTGAGTGCATTTGTCTTTTGATGTGGCGGGTAATTTTCGGAAAATAATTGAGATAGGCCTATTCTAATAAAGCAATATATATATACTTACACGTATTTTTTCATATGCCTTTCATTAACCCTCGCCCGCACATGCCATTTTCCGATCCTAGAACGCAAATGGGGGGGGGGTGGTTGCCACCCCCCCCCGCGCCATTTCGTTCCTGTTGGAGATAGAGCTTAGCGGTAAAGACCAAAAAGATTCTTTGGGAAGAGACGAATCCAATGATACCCAGTTTTACCTTCTCAGGTCAGTCATTGACCTTCCAGGTCAGGTCAAACTAAAAAATATTGCTGTTTTGGGTCACCGTTGGATATCAAGTGCGCTGCTTATCAAATACCGATGACGATGCTGTTTTCTGGTGCCAAGCTAGCTAGAACCTCTTTGTCACACTACCCAACCAGAATTTTGCTGCTGAGGTCATTTCAGGTCAAGTTAGGTCAAGGTCAATTATATGTGTTTGTATGTCTGTGTGTGTCTGTGTGTATACTGATGTGTGCACCGATGGTTTTTGGGTCCATATTACATGAAATCATGATCTGAGAAGCTTTTACCAAAAATGCAGTCAAAAAACTTCACAAAAAGTAACTTCAGCTTGCCTAAAACGCAATTATCTTAGATGACCTAGGTTGACCTTGACCCTGACCTTGACCCCTGTACATCGTCGAACAACATGTTCCATGATAGGTGGGAGGTAAGACTGGCAAAAAAGGCCGAAATCAGGGTGTCAAAAGCTCACAAGGCCCATGGCAAGCGCAAGATGTTGAGAATTGGCCATTTGGGTCATGACATGACCTGAAAAACAAGGTCATATCTCCGAAACCAAAAATCACAGAAACTTGAAATTTTTAGTGGACATCAAGAAAGGATAGAGGAGCAGCTATTCGAAAAATCAGCCTTCTAGCTCTAAAAATGTTGAGTGCAGAGCAGAAAGACTACCTGGGGGGGTGGCAACCACCCCCCCCCCCCCATGTGCGGGCGAGGGTTAAAACCAGTTTCATTGTTTAACCCTCGCCGGCACAAGGGGGGGCAGGTTTTTCGCAAATAACTCGCGCAAAAAGCGGCTGATCGCGACGACACTTTCAGTACCCTCGTGTTAATCAATTTTACATCTACCCTGATAATTTCATGACACTGACCCAAATGACCTTTGACCTGTGGCCTATTTTCCAAGACCATGTTTGGCCAGAATCGCGATTCGGCGTACGTCGGCTCGCATTACCAGCGCGTTTGCAGTCTTTTCGTGGTTTCAAGCGTTCAAACATGTGATATGATGTTGGTCTCATGGATTAGGATGGGTGTCAAGGTCACCTGAAGGTCAGGTCAGGTCATTGACCTTTGGTGACCTCGGTTAAAAACCATTTGAACATTTACAAAGTAGTTTTCGTGCCTTCGTAACATGTTACGAGGCTGTCAGAGGCGGTTGACACCTATGTACTACAAATACCCGGCAGCACCCTTACTGGTTGACCTGACCTGACCTGGCCTACATGCATAAAGACATCATCTGTGATCAAAACCAACATGATATTCGTGATCAGCGCCCCGAAAAAAACAGCAGCCACCCTTTACGATGTTCTTGCAGGTCCCGATTTTCCCAACCTTTGGGTCATTGACCTGACCTAGAAGGTCAACCGATGACCTAGGACCTCAAAATTGGGTATCATCGGCTTCCTCTTGTCAAGGGCAACACGCTCGTTTTTTCCGCGAAGCTCTAGCTCCATCAGGGGCCAAACGCCAGGGAGGTCGTACCCCCCCCCCCCATTGTGCCGTCGAAGGACGCAAAATGGCCTGTGCCGGCGAGGGTTAAAGTATAAATTACCTTATGAAAAGGCTACACTGAATATGGGGCATGGATCATGCAGCACAGATAACCAATGACATTCAGGTACTCAGATTATTTTTCAAAGAAAGGAGCAAAATAGAGCAAAAAACAGGAACATGTAACCCATTACCCCGGGTTTCCAAAAACTGTAAATCTTTTATTAATTTTCGTTTTCAACCCTTGTATGTTCTGCCATGACAAGTCTACGACAAAGGGGAACAGGCGGTGATGACGTTCATTGCATTCTCTAATTTTGCCAAAAGTGTATAGCTACCAAAAAAGAATGATTCCGGGAAGAGCCGGCATAAGTACTGGACGTCAATATTTTGGGCAAAGAAAAAAAACATTAATATGTCACGAAGCAAATATAACTGTTGAACGCATCTCCAAAGTCGCAGCGAGAAGGGACTTGCCTGAATTGTGAGCTCGAAGATCCTGTCAGTTATATGCAGTGAGATGATAGTTGCTGCTGCGAGAGCGTCGTCTCCGAGCGTATCGTCACCACTCCCACCTTTTCCTGCACCACTCTCCGCCGAAAACTCTCACAACCCACTGACAGTCCACTGACACCACCACCGGCATGTTCACTGTATGGCGCAACTGCCAACCGACTGCTGCCTTGAAAATGGCGTCGAATAACGCACGTGCATCAGCGCCGCGATGGCGGCAAAACTCTTTCAAGAGGAGTTTCAGGTCTTTTTTCGGAGTTCAGTTACTCTTCTTTTCTTTTGACTGTTCTCTCGGTTCTTCGTTAACTCCCTTTGCGGTGAATTACTCTGCATTGCGTACTTCCATGCTTATTCGAACTGTCACAGCAGAGTAACAAAACTCCGACCGGGTTTGTATACTCCGAGCGGTTATGCATGGGGAGTAAATGAAATCCCAATCTCTTTCCTTTACTCCGACAGATAAAGTGAGGTACTTTTATTACTCTTCCTCGCCATGAAATACTCCAAAATGAATGGTATATGAACACCATCAAAAGGAGTTTTCAAAAAAAGGTGTATGTAAATCTCTCGCGGAGTAAATATTTTTTTCCGTGTACCTGCATTAATTAAGCAGCTCATCTTATCCTGCGACTTTTTTTTTTTTTTTAATTTAGTCTTCCCGGCATGCCTAAGGCAACCGCCAGGGAAGGGGAAATTACTAAGGCTGGCAATGAGCCAGATCTTTCGTTTTACTTTACTTTACTGTCAGCTATTTAATTCTGACCCAAGCAAGAGAGAGAAGCAAACTTTACTTTAATTCGGCTCATGTGGCGTCCGATTAACAAGGCAAGGGTGTCCAGAAAGGGGTAGAATATTCATACTTGCTGCTGTAAATCTTGCTGCTGATGGTGTGAGGTGTTGCAATGTGTGATGTTTGTTGTGGGATGTATTTACCAGGAAAAGTCCTAACTAGAAAAAACCTGGTGCCTAAGTCAAGGGGCAAAAACTGTCGAGTACAGTAAAAATCCCCGCAATAGTTACGTTACGTTATATCTCTAATGTGGACAGTGAAAGTGTAATTGCGCAGGCTGTTCGCAGGGATCGGCCAAAATAAAACCGGCCTACCGAGTGAGACAGCCAGCGGGTTATGGCAGCCGGTGTGACCCGGGTGCCCCAGTCATGTCCCGCCCGTCTCAGGGGTACAACTTTGACTGGAATTTGGTGGCTCTGGAGGAGTAGCCGTGAGGCATAGCTCGACTCCTAGGCAGCGATGTTGGTAGGGCTAGTGGTTACCCGTTGGAGGAATTCTCTGAAGGAAGATACGGCGTCCGTGGTGAGGGGGTCCGTCAAAATAGAAGCCAGCCACGGCTGCCCTGTACGCTTTGGATTCTGGGCGAAGGTCAAGGTCGTATAGTCGGATTTCATGGTCAAACCAGTAGAGGGTGGAGGGAGGGTAGGAAAGTCGCCTGCCGCTGGCGTACTCAAACTTCAGCGACCCGATGTCAGGTGGAGGGATCTCACCCCTGGGACGTCTCTTCGGGATCAGGTCTGGATCGGGATCGTCAGTGTCGTTTCGGGGGCTGTCAGGCTGGAAGCTCGCCGTGTAGCCTCGGGTGAACGGCCTGCTTCGAGAGCAGCCGAAGTCGTCGGGGTCCGTGGTTGGTGTCGGTGAGTCGGGGGTGTCAGTCTGGACTTCGGCAGAGACCAGTCGGGCGGGTCGAGTTTGAGAGGTCGAGTCGAAGGTGGTCAGTTTGGTCGTTTGGGTGCTGGCGTCGGTCGTCTGAGAGCTGGCTGTCTCGGTCTGGGTCTGAACAGGGACTGCGGTCGCCTTAGGGGCCATGACCTCACCATCTGTCTGGACAGAGGCGTCTGTGCGAGCCGGAGAGGGCTGCATCGTTCGGTGCTGACTCTCAAGTGGAGGCCAAGCTGTGGAGTTGAGCGGCGGGGGTTGGAATGGCGCTCGCTCTCGAGTGTCTCGTTTGGTGGTTTTCCAGACGGGGCAGCTGTTTCGGTCCCATGCTGGGTGTGGACCAGAGCAGAGGGGGCACTTTGGGACCGAGGTACAGTCACCTGTGGGGTGGCTGTCCCTGGCAGAGCACTGCCCGCAGACTGTCTCTTTTCGTCGGCAAGAGCGCATGGAGTGGCCTAGCTTCCAGCACCTACGGCATTGCCTTGGCAGCTGGATCCAGGGTCGAACAGGGACGGAGAGGTACCCGCAGAGGAGCTTTCTTGGGAGATCGAGTCCTTTAAAGCGAAGTCGAATCAGGGGGTTTGGAGTTCGGTCCTTGGATTTGAGCCTCTGCACCTCGATAACACCCTGCGGGGCTAGTTCGGTGAGGAGCTCTTCGTCAGAGAGGTCGCTGAGGTCCGGACAGTGAATGAGACCCTGCGATGACATCAGGTTGGTTGCAAGAACAGCCGAAACAGGTTTTCCGAGCATGGTTTGGCAGGAGAGAAGGGCAGAGCTTTGGTCTTTGTTGAAGGTCGAGATGAGAATTTTGCCAGATCCGAGTTGTTTGGTTTTTTCGACTTCCGAGTCACAGATCGAGCGGATTTCCCTGATGATGGCGAACGGGTTCCCTCGCAGTGGAGTGCCATCAGGCCGGCTCATCAGGATGAGAGCGCGGCCTTCTGGTGGGTCAAGGTCGGGTTGCTCACCGCCGGGTTTTGCCGAGATGCGGACGCTTCAGCGTCCACTCTGCCGTCCTCAGGCTGGAGGCGCAGGCGCAGTCGGGCCGCGGCCGCTGGGGAGGGGTCTGGTCAGCTCCTCGCTCCTACAGCTTCACCCACCAGCTGACCAACCAGACGGACGTGAGGCTGGAGGACCGCTTCGACAACTGGAAGTACGACATGAACAGCATACAGGTGCGGTCCAGCGGAGTCCCGCGTGCAGAGTTGGCTATAAGCTTAGCAGGACCGGTTTGAGATGGATCGTGTGGGATTGAGTAGCTATTATATTAGCGTGCGAGAAACAAGCGATAATGTCAGACGAACTCGTTTGATAGCATTCCTGGTCTAATTGTTCTGATGCACTCATGTTTAGCTGTGTAGTACCGCTTACCTTTCTACGCACTCGCTGCACCTTTAAAGCGCTGATTTCATCTGTGCTCCATGATGCGGCTCGTGTCTTCTCCTTCATCGCTTCCTGAGTTACATCGTCCTGAGTTATCGGTAACTCGTCCTGACCTCCCCTCGACCTCAGTATAACCAGTCCGTTCACTTCTGATTGGTTCTAAGCATCTACCTTCTCACTTTGATCGCACGTCCCTTCTCCCCCGACCTTCCTCTACCGTTCGCTGTCCCTCCGACGCCTCTCTGACCGTCTGACCGTCTGACCCGCCCTCAGCAACGCCTGCCGTGGGTGAACGCTGGCGGCTACGCCGGAGGTAAGCCGCTGCTGACCACCTCGGACCAGTGGCGTTCCGGCGCCTTCTGGGGCACGCTGGTGACGCGGCCCGAGCAGCGCGCCTACCGCCACAGCCCGTGGGTTTACGGCACGGCCGCCCAGCACTCGGGCACCGTCCTCTACTGGCTGCGGGAGGAGCCGGCCAGCTGAGGAACCGGCGAATTATCCCCCGGGAACCGTCCTCTACTGGCTCCGGGAAACAGGCCAGCAGGAGGGGTCGGCTCGGGGAAACGACCGTCGACCACTCCAGGTGGAACGGTCGGCTTGGGAGATGGTCGACTAAGGGCAAAAGTCAACTAAGAGGGACGGTCAGGTACGGAGAACGGTCAAGCGAGAGAGTGCGGTAGCTAATGAGCTGTACTATGCTTGCACTGATGCAAAGCTGCCGTCATAAGCGGCCAGCAGCTAGCAAGTACCAACTCTGGCTCAGGTCCAGGCCGGTTTCCACCATCGCGAGCGCCCGGCCATTCTCATTTCAATTCAATTGAAATGTGCTTCATGAGTGAAAAATGGCTATGAATTGTTGTTCAATGAAAAAACCTCGAAAGTAGGTTTGTATCTCAAGGAATATTATATCCAATGTAAATATAACACATCTTATTTTAAGCCTTTCCATCGCAATCGGCAATGCAATGACATAAATTTGTTGAAGAATGGAGGGACATACGAAGAATGGAAGGCTACATTAATACCTACATTTCTCTAAATTGAAAATAACCATAGTGTTGGGAATATATATGTATGTTACAGGCGCCAGTGCCGAAGGCGCACGTGATATTGCTGACGTGTGTCGATAATTGTCATAGAGTCGACGAGTTAAGTGATTTATCATTGTGAGTCAGTCAGGCGGTGCGCTTGACCACGAATGGTAAGCTGGGGTATGTTGGCATGCACAATACAAGAACAAGGACGTGTGCACGATTTCTAACACTGGCGCGGTCGGTAGGACACGTTCCTATGTTCCGCAAAATAATTTGCAATTAATTTGAAATTAATCCCTTGCTAAGGTTGTAGCGGATTTATTTAATTAACTCGGATAACTTAAGCATATTTTGTCGTTTTCCACGTGACTTTTTTGGTGTTCATTTAACTGCTAAATCGACATGGATCACCATATACTGCTGATGTCCCACTTTGAGCATTTTTCTGGAACCGGCTCTCAAAACTGGCAGCAATGGGTGCGTCGTTTCGAAGCCAAGACATCGGCGCTACCGGCTGCCGACCGACTTCCGTGCCTGATCAGCGTGCTGCAGGGTGGTGCGCTGGATTTTTTTGCATCCCTGCCGGAGCAAATTCGCGGGGACTATCAAACCACCAAGAAAGCCCTGGCAGAGCGCTATAGCCAACTACAGAATCCGCTGCAGGCACAAGTGGAGCTGGCTCGCGCCTGTCAACAGCCGGGTGAGACGGCGTCGGACTTTGCCGACAGACTGCGGCAGCTGGGCCGCCTGGCCCATCCGCGAGTCGCTCCAGATGACCCGACCCTCGACGCCAGTCTGAGAGGCCTCTTCATATGTGGGCTGAGAGACGCCGGACTCAAGAGCGTGCTCTGCAACAAGAGCCCAGACTCTATGGACGCGGCGGTGAGGATCGCTCGCGAATTCAAGAGCCAGCAGACTGCGCTCGTGGCCATGCAGCAGTTTGGAACGGCAGCGGGAGCACACGAGGCAATGACACCGCAAGTCATGGTGGCTTCAAGCGGCGGTTCCGGCGTTAACCAGGCCGTGGCCCTCCAGTCTCTAGAACGCCGCATGGACGACATCCAGCAGGCTCTGCAACAGCTGTGCACCGACGGCCCGAGGAGGCAGAACACCGGCGGCCTCGCTGAAGATGGCGACGGCGGCGCCCGGAGAGGCACCGCATTCGTATCAGGAAACCGCCGTCCACCCCCTCGGTGTTTTGACTGTGGTGATTCGGGACACACCCGACGATTCTGTCCCAAACGGCGCGGCCATACTGAGAGCCGACAGTGTTATGCGTGTGGGGAAATAGGGCATCTATTCCGTGATTGTCCCAGAACTTGTACCGCAGGGGGGCCCTTCTGTCTGCGCTGTAGACGTGATGGGCATTGGATGTCCGACTGCAGTCTGCACGGCCCGGCCACGATGGGCGGCGCGCCCGCGTGCCCCGGTGCTGGACAGATCCCGAACCAGGAAAACTAAGGGCAGCTGGTGTTGAGGGACAAATGCCAGCCGGGATTGTACCAGGGTCCCATATCGTAGCGTCTGTTGTTGAAATGGAATTTGGAGGTAGGCGGGTGTGGGCCCTGGTGGACACCGGGACTGAGCTATCGATGAGAGGTGGCAACGGAGGCCTGCGGTCGACAGGGAACGAGGCCTGTCACGATGAGCTGGCCGTTTTGGCCCCTGCTCTCGGCCATTGGTTCGGATCCGTCGCGGCGAGACGGGTGGGGGGCGAGAGTTCTCAGGGTTGTTGTCTTCCCTCGGTGGTTTCAGCGTTCGTGGTGCATCTGCTGACTTCCGTGCTGTCCTTGTTCTCGTGGGTGTTCAAGGGACGGAAGTCAGCGCCCACCCTGGTTGGGTCAGCTCCCGGTCCGTCGGCGGGTAAGGGGACATGTCAGGGGTCTGACCCGGTGCAGGGCGGTGCGCCTACACTGGAAACCACGGACAAGTTCGCTTCTTTTCGGGCTGGGAAATCTAGCAACAGGGGAGGGGCGGCACTGGTTGTGGGGGGTGGCAGCGTGGGCGCGGAGACCCGCTGCCGGCTCAGTGCGGTGGAGCCTGACCTGATGAAAGGCGGGTCGCCCCCGATCAGACGCTTGGGCAGCAATGCTCTCCTTAGGGTTGGAGTACCCGTCACCAGTTCCCGAGCGGGGCAAAATCCGTTGCCTCCTGTGCTTCGGGCACGGCGGAGACGACAGCGCCGCCGACGCCGTCGTCGTTCCCCTCGTTGTCTGAATGATAACAGCGCTGAGAAAGTGTTAAATCACAACAATCTAAGGCCTTGCCAGGCACTGAACGCGGCAGGGAACCAATGTAGCCCGGGCCCCGCAGTCGGACGAACCCTGAACTCCGAGCCCGGCCAGGTGCAAGGCGAAGCGCCTGCACCAGAGGGCAGTGACGGGCTGCCCGACCCATTGGTGGATGCCTGGCTGTGCAGCGCCCCCGGTCCAGCCCCACTAGGCGCGGTGGGCCGTCCAGGTGCTACCGAGGAGAGTCCGGAAGTGGCTTATGGCCCACCCACCCCAGTGTTCACACGATACGGGCGCCTGTCGCGCCCAGTGGCACCGTTCAGCAATGGATGAGCCGGGAGAAGACAGTGAGGCGCATGGCAGCGATGACGTGTGTATCGTGTATATAGCCGGATGATGTGAGCGTATGTTTCGGAGAGGGGAGGGGTGTTGGGAATATATATGTATGTTACAGGCGCCAGTGCCGAAGGCGCACGTGATATTGCTGACGTGTGTCGATAATTGTCATTGAGTCGACGAGTTAAGTGATTTATCATTGTGAGTCAGTCAGGCGGTGCGCTTGACCACGAATGGTAAGCTGGGGTATGTTGGCATGCACAATACAAGAACAAGGACGTGTGCACGATTTCTAACAATAGCATGAATAATATCAAAAGGTTGTAGCTTCTTTAACCCGCGCCCCGCGGGGGCAGAATCTGCCCCCCTTCAGTTTTTCACCAATTACTTCTAAACGCGTTACGCCAGCGACGTTAAACTTTCAGTACCTTATCATACATCAATTTAACAAGTTCCCTGGAAAGTTGAGCGAAATCCGTCGGAACACTTTTTGAGAAAATGACGTTTAAGTGACGTCATGTCACACCATTTTCGCTTCAAAAACTGCAAAACTTCAAACGCCGCTAAAATATTTATTTTTAAAGGAATCAAGACGTCACAAAAAAGGTTACAGTGATTCTACTTTGTCCATCAAGGATTTTGACTCAAATAAAAAAACTGACTTTTTTGGAAATTCAATATAAAATCCAAAATTTTGTGTTTATCGAAAAACCCGGAATGTATGTTAGAGACGTACTCTATGTGCACCTACATACCAGTTTTTAGAGGAATCGGGTAAAAAATGTGGGAGTTATTAAAACTTGTATGGCGTCACGACACACGATTTTCGAAAAATGTTTTTTTTAACTTTTAGAATTCATACGGAAACAAAAATAGAGCCATTCGATTCGCCGTGACAAACTGCACCACAAAGACGCCTTTTTAGGTCTTAACAATCAACTTCAAACTTTGACTTCACTTGACCTGGCCTCGATCTGAAATTCATCCAGATGTGGTCCATATCACTAATTAGGCGTGCCCATTAAATTCTAAGGATAAAATAACCCATAAACCATGTGTCGCTCATGCCCTATTCTATATTTCGTATTTGGTGACCTGACCTGACCTCGACCTTTGCATGACATTATATGCAACGAATCTTGTCTTGGTACCCTAAGAACACGTTTTGGGCAATCAGTATTAGTCCATTCTTCGGCAACTACGGTGCAAGGCCGATACTGTAAAAACTTGGATTTTGTACCCTTGACCTGACCTTGACCTGACCTCTGACCTAAGCAAAAAAAAATCGGCTCTTAAGATCGGCCTTTTTGCGAGCTTTCGATTGCCGTTTTCCCCGTATCTCTACGACCATCGGTTCGGAAGTTAGACAGGTGGGCAGAATCTGCCCCCCCCCCCCCCAGCAGGGCGCGTATGGCTGAATAGCTCAGCGGGGCACGGGTTAAAGGGACCCTCCCAGTTCCCACCTTCAAAAGAGTTAATGAATTGGCATGAAAGTGATGTCGCTCGGTTCAGAAAGAGCAAAAACGAATATCTACCAAATTTCATCGAAAAATATTCACCGGTTTTCAAGATATTAGACTTTTACTTTTGTTTACTTTTTGGGATCTCCGCTGTTCCTAGCGACTTTATTTGAAAGTGCGGCATTTGTTGCGCGCAAAGCAGCATATACCACCGTGTGCTACAAAACGTTTTAGTTAAACATTTAACGGACGTTCGAAAGCCTGATGACGTCATATGATTCCCGTAATGGTTAAGAGATAGGGACCACGCTGGTCCCACCCTGCAAGTAAAGGAAAGAAATTTCTTGAACACCATAAAGCTGCGGGGGTTGCGATCAGGATAAATGGTGGTTTCTGAGCCTGGCCGCAAACTTGGCTATCTCAACTCAAAACTAATGTTAAGGTGGGAGGGTCCCTTTAACCCTCGCCCGAATTGATGTTTTTCCAGCCGCAAACGTATAAGGGGGGTCCGTTGGACCCCCCCTTGCCGTTTCGCCCCTGATCGAGCTAGAGCTTCGCGGAAAAAAAAACGAGCGTGTTGCCCGTGACGAGAGGAAGCCGATGATACCCAATTGAAGGTCCTAGGTCATCGGTTGACCTTCCAGGTCAGGTCAATGACCCAAAAGTCGGGAAAATCGGGACCTGTTAGAAAGTCGTAAAGCGTGGCTGCTATGAGGGTTTTCGGGGTGCTGATCACGAATATCATGTTAGTTTTGATCCCAGATGATGTCTTCATGCTTTTAGGCCAGGTCGGGTCAGGTCAGGTCAGGTCAGGTCAACCAGTAAGGGTATTCGGTGTAGGTGGCAACCGCCTCTGATAGCTTCGTAACATGT